GTGACAATTTTTGGCCCCGAAAGTCAGGTGCAGATTGCTGCTGCGATGTTACTGGTGCGTATTTTTGCCCTTCAGTCTAGTTTGGTGTTGACGTCAACGCGTAGGAACACGTCCCCTTTGAAGCAGACATGGCGGTCCCGCCTAGTGCCGATCTTCCCAAGGTCTGCGCATCCGCCGACTTCATAGCATTCGTTGAGCGCATCAAGCGCGAGTTCCAAGTGATCATTACTCCGAACGTCAAGGCACCTACACCTAGCCCTACCAACGGCGCGTCTGCCTCGTCCTCCAGTGTGGTCTCGGTTGGGGACGTAGGCGAGTACTCGTTCAAGTTCCATTGCCAGAGGAGCAACTCGGACTTCTTGCTCGCGGCACGGGAGATGTTGGAGCAGTTCTTGCTCAACCATAATGTCCATGTGTACCCGTCGCCCACGGCACATACGCATAAACGGGGTGACTCGTTCGCGGAGGCATTCCCGCACTTTGATAGTAAGGTGTTGTCGACGGCGAGGAGGCATGGTGAGTGTCTTTGTTTTACTTTCAGCCGTTTATTTATTTTTACTTGGGTCTTGGTCGAGTGCTTATGATTATTTTTTTTGGACTATAGAATCGGTTGAGCTTACCCGTTCGGAGATACTGGGCGATCGGAGATTGAGGATGGCAAATTCATCGCCAGATGTAAAGGCATTGTTTAATGCTCCCGCATACATATATGATCTAGAGGAGCATGAGGACTCTCAGTCAGCTTATGGTCCGCCAGGAACGGGCCTTGACTACTGGACACCGCTACCCCCGATCGTAAGTCCCCTATCTCCGATCCTTTAACCGATTAATGACACTGGTCCAGGGCACGGGGATGGCTACACGACAACGAAATACCGAAGACGCACTCAAGCGCGGGTCTGACTCCCTGCTTGAGTCAAAAATTAAGGAACAGATCAGCAAGCCCCGATCGCTGCAGAACCGCGCGCAGTCGCTTGACCTCACGTACTCGCTCTCTCGTATCACGGAGGCGAGCAATAGGCTGCCGCAGCCCGAGTCGCCTACGACGTCGACGGGTGGAGGCACGGGTGGTGATTCAAGTCCGACGAGTGCTACGGCGCCATCATTCCCGAGCGTGTATGGCCCGCGGTCGTCGGCTGTCATCGGCTCATCGTCGCAGCGTGCTGCATTGAGGAGCGATGACGATGTTGTTGATGAGGTATCGCGAGTGTTGTCGAACCTCGGACTGTAACTGCTGCATCTGTATAGTTTTCTTTTCTTCTGCTCTCGCACACGATCGCAAAATCAGTCTCGCCTGCTCTGCCTAGGGACTATCCAGCACAGGATCTATTCAAAATGTACCAGGAGATCTCTCTACGTTCCTCCCACATCTCGCACTCATCACGACTGATATCACGCAATCAAACCCACATCGTTGTTTTTCTTTCTTTTCTTTCTTTTCTATATTGCACTACAAGCAACGCTAGCGCTCGATCTAGTTTGTTTATCGGTTTCCGATGCTCTTGTGTTTGGCTGCTCGCTCACTCCCGATTCTTTTGTACATTACATCGAATGATATTTCTACAGTAGTGGGCTGGTCATATTGTTATCCTTCCACTAATAGAACTATTTAACTCGTCGTGGGGGGAGTATTGATTATTACAGCACAATCCATGGTACCTCGTACAAGACGAAATCAAAGAATTCTTGTTCCATCAGCGACTGGTATTCTCCAGCGAATTCGTCATTTGTGCTTTGTTTCTGGGAACGTCCAGAGGAGCGGGGGCTGAGGTAGCTGAAGTGGTTCGTGAGTACGGAGAGGGTCTTCTTGGTATACTTTGGCTCGGGCTATAGAGTATTTATTTAGTGCGTGGAAGCGAGCAGCGACTCGGATGTGGTGGAGAACGCACCCTGACAGCGAGGCCAACGTAATTCGCGGGCAGACCGTACCGAAGCACGCTCTCGACAAATAGCCGAAGGATCTTCAGGTGCACGAGGATCTGGAAGGACTCGGAGAAATTGGTCCGAGATAGTCGTAGAAGTTCGGTCTGTAAAGGCGGTGAGGATAAGGGCGGATTTTACGTGCTGTTGTTGCTGTCTTACCCAGAGCTCTTTCTCTGTCATGTCTGCTATCTCGAGTTCTTCTCTTTCGTTGGCTATTTGTTCTTCTGAGTAAACGAAGTCGCGGACTATGAACCTGGTAGGAGGGCGTGTTATTGGATGGGTGTGGAGAATGGAATGAACATACTTGTTTTCACGACATTTCTGTACGAACTGGTCTTGCACGCGTTTGAAGATGACGACGCCGAAGAGTGTGTATTCGCTGTCTGATGCTATAGCTCTTTCAGGGGTGTGTGTGAGCTTTTGCACAGAAGTACGGACGTTACATACGATGACGAACGGGGAACGACCATGTTGGTGAGTCGCTCGTACTTCAAGTTCCACTCCTTTGTGAGAATTCTGGGGTGAATATTGAATCGCTCAAGTCGACAAACGTTCAAGTAGGAGTACCCACTTTGGTACGGCAACCAGGCATGTTTCTAGGTATTCTGAGTCCTGAATGACGTCCTCTTTGGATACTAAGCCGACGAGAGATCGTACAGAAAGGTTTCCGCTGTGTTAAGGAGTAATCAGCGCTTCTTGGATGGCTATGCATCAACTTCGCGCTCACGTTTTCTTGCGCTGCATCTGAACGAGAGAACCCTTTACGATATTGTAGTTGTTTAGTTTGGCCTTCATCACATTGTCTATGGACGCCATTTCCTTGGGCGTAAATGAGTACCTCCCCTGCAGGAGTGATGTACGGCAAGATACCTTGTTCAGGACATCAACCATTTCCCGAAGACTTCGTTGTACCCCATATCGACTGTCGTTCCATTTCCAGCCTCTAAGTACGTAGTCGTCGACGCCGCGCTCATTCACAAGGACGTGTTGGGCAAGCTTGGTCGGGTCGTTGTTCAGCAAGTTGCGGAGGGTGTCTACAATCTTTGCGACCGTCGCCGTAAAGAACGCGTCTTGTTTTGGAAGCTCCTCTGACAAGGCGATCAAGGAGTCCAATGTCCCTGTCTACACGACGATTCATAAGATACCTGGTCCCTGCCCGATGAGTACGAAATGAAGACCTTGAATGAGGGAATGCCAAGTTCTGCGACTGTCGTATGTTGAGGAAGCTTGCTTGTAATTTCTGGTAGGAGACCCTCGGAGTCACCGTCCTGTGGGACTGCGACCAACCAGGTGCTTTGGTCGGATGGCATGTCGTACTTTGGTGGACGGACGACGTTCAGCAGCACCGAACGCTGTATGTATCGCCCAATATGGACTTACATGACGAAATCAGATAAAAATTCAAAAATTAATCTTTAAAATTCAACTGCCATGTTGTTGCTGGCCTTGCTGAGTCGGAATGGCGTGAATGCAGCTGGGAAACGCTCTCCGATAACTTCCTTGACGGTGAAGAGGACTTTTTCGAGATCAATGTCGACCCCATTGTTGTTATCACCATCGCAGCTGCAGCAGTTGCTTCCTGATACCAAACAGGTATCGATCCTGGACGCCAGCTGGTTCATGCCAAATTCCCCGCGGAATGCCAACGAGGAGTTTCTGAAGAAGCGCGTCCCTGGTGCGCAGTTTTTAGACCTTGATGAGGTGTCCTCACCCCATGAACTTGGCCTCAAACATATGATTCCGAGTGAACGTCACTTTGCCGATACCTGCGGTATGACCAAACTTACTGACTGCATTCACATTTACAAATCTTCATCTTCCATAACAGAGGCATTCGGCATTGAGCCCACTTCTCATGTAATTTTGTACGGTTTCACACTTCTTCCATCAGTACTTTTGACAAGCCATATCATTGCGCAGATATGATACACATGGAGTATTTTCATCACCACGTGCACTCTTCATGTTCAGAGCGTTTGGCCACGAGAAATCGAGTATCCTCGACGGAGGTCTGCCACGTTGGGAGGCAGAGGGTTTTCCAATTGAGGCTAAGCCGCCGGCTCGTACAAGGAATTCCGTCTATCCCACTCCTGTCTTCGATAAGGCAATGATACGGTGTGAGTGGCTTCATGTTCGCTATCCTCCAATGTCGTCGAAGCTTGCGGCCTCCAACAGCCTACGATCAAATGGCGTCAAACTCATTTACGGATCTTCACTCGGACCCAGCCGTCGAGCTTGTTATCGACGCTCGTTCCCGGGGTCGGTGAGCAAACTAATAGCGAAGTCTGCGGACAAAGCTTACGGACTCCTTACGCTTGCAGTTTCCTAGGCACAGACCCAGAACCGCGGCCAGGCCTATCATCGGGTCACATTCCTCATTCGTTCTCCTTGCCATTCACTGCGTTCCTGCAGACTAGTACCATTCCTAATTCCTCCGTACAATACACCACTTTCCTACCCATTGCAGAATTACGGAATGCATTGGTGAGCCATGTTGGTGATCATGCGGAAGCCGTCATACAAGGCAAACGTCCAATTACCACAACTTGTGGAAGTGGTATGACTGCGGGAGTCCTCTGGTTGGGACTGAAGCTATTGGGTGCCCCAAATGTGGCATTGTATGATGAGGTGAGCCATGATCTGCGCGAGGTTTTTGCAGGTTATTAATTTTTGCCAGTCTTGGACCGGATATGCGAGTCGGGCATCTAGCAAAATTGAGAAGGCGGCAAACTAGACAGTTTTCCCACCTTTAATCCTTGCCACAACAATCGAAGATATTGAAACATATTCGCATTGAAATCAAGTATCTGTCATTATGCTGGTGCGTGCGTCATATACATGAACTACTAATGTAGTGCTACATAGCTATTTGCTATCCCCATGTTTCCCTGCTGATTAGTTGTGGGCCTAAGCTATACAGTGATCTGCCAAATCCTTTACTGCTAAAAATACAATACTCAACGATTACCCATGCTGTCCGTGGAATAACAATAAGTTTTTTCTTTCTTTCAAAATTCCGGTTGACGTTCTATAACGGTCATTAATCCCTTGATACCTTTGGCTGCTTCAATTTCAACAGGTCTCTGTGCATCAGGCCAGCATGATCGAGCCACTGTGGCCGAATAATGAATCTATGGGAGGGATCGATCATGCTACTAATTGACACGGAACGGGACACTCACTGTGACCTTGAATTGGTCGCGGCGCTGGGATCTAGGATGCCGAATCTCGCAGTCCCATCTGATGACGTTGGTTAGTAGCGAATGGGAGGAAGATAGAGTATGTACTGACCTTTCTTCAAGGAGAACGTTGCCTCCCATCTCCTTCGCTGTCGAATACAAGCTCTTGCGAGCTAGATTCACAAGTCTTCCAGCATCGACTCCCCCTTTGCAGGTGAACTCGTCCTTGTGTTCCACCCTGGGACCAACAATTGTTGGCTTCGAATCTGCTAAACATGCGTGTGTACGCGCCGGTCCAGACGAGCTCTCAACGCGTTCCGTCTCCAGCACATGAGTTTTGTGGGCGTGATGTATCTGTATACCAAGATGATTATGACAGAAGTCGGTGAATGCGCGTGTGCAGACTTGGACCATGATTGTTGGTGGAGAAAAGATGTCCTTGAAGGTCATGCCAGGAGAGTAATTAGTATCTTGATAGTTACGGCGCCATCCTGTGACGCTGTTGGGTTATATACGTGCCAATGACAGGACTGATGGCCGGTTTGGGCCTCTCCGCTTTCCGAGGTGACTGACGGCAAGAACCCTACCACGAGGGGCCACCAAAATTAAAAGTTTACATTTGCAAATTCCTTCAGGTAATACACGATGAATCAATGATACCCCTTGGTCCCTTGGGATCGTCACATCTTGCGAAGGCCTTCATTTCTGAATTTGGTGCATCATGTTCCTTACAACCGGCAGGCGTGTAGAGCAAGGATGTACGAATTGGGATGTCAAGGATGTGGTAGGACAACATGAGGCAAGAAAGAAATACACGATGGGAGATGATGGCCTGGACTCTCGGCGGCAGATACAATTGTGGTCAATAAATTACGAAAAAAGATGCTGCGACTCCAAGACGGCCATGAACGGGGGAGGGCGAAAAGGTGGCGCTTTACCAGACACGTATGCCGGTCGCCCCGCATATTGCACCTCTATACGATGCGACCTTCCCTTGCGATAAAGAATTAGCGTCCAGCTACGAAGGTGCGTAATCAGGCGACTTCCCATGGCAATATACATTTCATTTGCTCACCTTTCCAACAGTAAGACGTTGTAATTGTTCTTTACGATCTCTTGTATTAACTGTTGTCTGGCGAAAAGCACTGCATTGGCATAATCGGAGCCTTGGGGAGAACGCTTCCCGAGGTCAAAGATGTACGTTCCACACGTGGCCGTATCTCTGACACGCAGGATATCAAGTTCTAGGTTGGGGAGGGGCTTGATAGGCAGATGATTCACAGGCCCAGGACCAGACCAACGCACCATCGTCGTCATCGATCATTGGTACAGGATCGATACACTCGCAACCTACAACCTCCCAAGATTGCTCGTTCTTTCGGCGAAACCACTTCATGGCTGCGGCGAAGAAGGCCAACTAATTCGGATACCTCTTCTCAGCACGAGACAGATGGCTGTTGACATGAGGACAATGCTGTTCGGTTCGATACAGTAATATAGGTAAGACCGTACTCGGCACCGCCACTCGGTAGGCAGGGCGCTGACTGCGCAATGTCCACTAAGTTATGAACAAGGTTTAGTTGATAAGATGGAAAGAGGCCGAGACAAGGCAGGTATCATCGTTTAGCTTACTGAGATAGGAACCACTTGATTGCATCTAACTTTCTAGAGACCATGCTTCGAATGTGTCAAACAAGGAGTATCAAGCATCCTGCTCTCTGTTGGATGTCCGTGCATGAACTATCAATCCGAAATTTGGCTCCGTAGCCGAGGAACGCGTCACCTCTGAATATCCGAGTCAGGGTCGCATAAGTTTAACGCAAAGGAGAATGACTCTTCTCGGGCAGTGTTCGGGCATGTGATTCTCAGATACCTGAAGCCAGAATTACTTGGAGATTGCTTCGATATGAAAATTTTTCGCATTCTGCCGGGAATGAGTGAGATGCGATTGAGGCACGATAGATGATGATCATGACATACTCCCTTAAAAGGAGACCTGACACTGGTTTGAGAAGAACGCTGGATGAAAGAAGAGCTTGATGAGCCTGTGCAGATAGCAGAATCGAACCGCGGAGCTTGATCGGATAAAGGGCCCTATAAAGTCTGATAGAGTGAGAATCTCCATGTATACTAAAATATTGATCACGGGATTACAAGAGCGCACCCCACCGACGTTGTTTATGTTTGTTAGTTTCGGAAGCTAGCTGCAAATGACCGAGACCCGTATTAAGTACCGCGGTTTGCGGCGTACTGTGATATTCCTCGACTAGGAATTTCACTGGCAGGTTCTCATCCATTAAAATTTGCTTCAGGAAAGATGTCTTCTCGTTCATATCTCCCTTATCTAATATGCTGCTACCTCAGTGTTCCGACTTGTACATAGGCACACAACAGAGGAAGGCGATCAGGGCGCGGCAATTTCGTGCTTTTTGACGTTTTCCTCAATAAATTTTATCAGAGCCGACACGCTCGTCCGAAAAAATCCGAAAAACGCGGCGACGGGCAAGATGCATTTTGCCTCGCGCGCTGGAAGGAGCTCACTCAGCACGTTTATCCAACCTTGCACTTCCCTGTAAGCAGGCCCCAATTTTTGCGAGGTAAATTGCATGGAATGTTGCAGTCATGGGCCGGCGGCAGTTCCTGGACGCACATTCTTGGTTGTAAGTGCTTATATGTGTGATATTGACCATGATCCCGATGGTACTAATCAATGGCACCTCCCAGATCTATCGCTTGCCTGGGCAACACTACATATACAGGAAATGTCTGCTTATGATCTACAATGAAGGTCTTTGCCGCGGCTCCCGCCGGAAACGGGAAATGGCACCATTATTTGGTTTTGCTCATGGCTACCCTGCAGGTTTAACGATCTACACTCTTTCGCGTGTGGCAAATGCGGCGGCATGCCACCCTAGTTAAACGTGGTATATCGATAATCCGCCATGCAGGTCATCCGAGTCGTGTTGATAACATCCGCAATACCCGAGGCTCACAAGTAACCCCATTCTTGCCGAGGCCCATCTGGACAAATTTTTCCAGCCAGTGAATTAGCACCCAACGGATAACCACCTGCAACAGTGCAACCGCAAACGTATGCCCCAAGCATTGTCTACTTGCAGCAGTAGGTGCGGTCCTGACGTCTTCCATTCCAACTTGAACGTTGTAGACCACATAGAGTAAATCCAACTCGCATTCCGCTCAATTCACCGTGACATAAATACCGTGTTTTGGCACTGAACAAAGAGGCTCCAGCTTTACATCATCTACTTCAGCGTCGCACCCATGCCGCAACCATGATCACTGTCACATGTCCTGTGAAGACAGAGCAGACCCTTGTCGTTTACCTCGGGTGTCGAGCAAAGTCGGCCGATGATATACGGATGGTCGTTTACGTCCTCGAGCTCGTATTTTGATGCGTGCCGCAACGTGGTCCGTTCATTGGAGTTCTGACTATTGAGGGAGAATACACAACCATGAATATGGTACGCAAATCTAATCTTGCGGCCTAAAATGAATTCTCCTAAGCACTCTGTTCTCGAATGCCTGAGTGCCTAGCGATTTTCACGCGGATTCGACTCCAGATCGCGCACTAAATCGCTGAGCCCCCTCTGAATCGCGTACTGAATTGTCTTTGAATCACGCACTCCGACTACTACTAATAGATGCGCAGTAAGTAAGTAATAGTGAAATGAAACGGATATTACAGAATTAAAGCAAATATGTGTACGAGAATCAAGCGAACGCTCCTCATGACAAACTGCCTCCTGAAAAGCCGCCTCTCATCGTATCATCATCCCGATCCCAATTCCCAAACACAAACTGCCCACCATTGCCATCCTGACCTGACTGTCTGCCAACTTATCGACAAAAGTAGAAGCACTTCTTCTTAGCAATCTCGTCGCAGGATCAAGAAGGCACAAAGAAAACGAAAGTAATGATGATAGATGCAGTGGATCAAAGCACTGCTGCGCTGGAACCCTCGCGGGGTCTTCGCGCTCGCAAGAGATAGCAACATCCTGCGACAATCGAGATTCCCATTCTGCTTCCCATTTCGCCTTGTTCCATGAAGGTTCATTGGAGGACAAGGATACGATTTCTCGATGGGAGGCGTTTATTCCCTCTACGGCGCACTCGACTTCACGCCAGCGAAGGAAGCGCTCTGCCGCTTCATATCGTAGTGAAGAAAGCGTCTCCGGCGAGCGGAAAAGGCCACTCCGAAGGGCAGCTGCTGAACGTGGCCTGAATGATGACATGTGAGGGCGAGAAGGGAAATGCGTATGGTCTGGACCATGGCGCATGAGTATGACGGGTATGTGTGGAGTAAGTAAGTCGATGGGGCCGTCCTCCGAAGCAGACGGGCCTGGATGATGCACCAAGTCAGAAGCAGGAGCCACGATGCATGGAGCTAATACTTACCTGAGTTGGATAGGATGATGAGCGCGGTGTGCAATGGTGACCACGGGGATGCAATTAAGTTGGTTAGAGAAGCAGACGGCTGGCATCGAGGATCAATTAATTCAGATACGGAGCGAAATGGTGACTGGATGACTGGTAGTATAGAAGCTTTCGTTGACTGGAGCGAGAGGTCAACTTTAACCAAACCACATGCATGTTATGACGTACATTATCATCGAACTCGTGTCGTGCAAGGGATATGATTTCGACATTCTTCGCAGGCTCAAACTTCTCAAGTCCGTGGGCATCTCGATGCTCGATCCAGTCTGTCGATGCTCTTAGGATCGAACCGTGTTCGAAATCCTCCCATCCGCTGATATCCACAACATCCTCGTTGTCGTCCAGGAGTAGATTGGACACCAGCTCACGGTCATCAGCGCCATTCCCTACGACTAGTAGCCTCAAATCTCCAAGGGTTTTCCCAAAAGGAGTCGGACGACGCAATGCAGCTGGTAGGGTCAGAGACGGTATGATAAGCCCCTGTGTACTGGAATCCCGTGCAAGGTGATCAGACTGAGGCTGGGAGCGCGGTGGACTGGCAGCTGCGGAAGAGAAGAAGAATGACGAGCTGACAGAAGGTAAAGAGGACACCGACTCAGAAGGACTGTTTGGGGAAGACGCCAGGGCGCTTGACCGTGGTGACGACGGCTGGGATTGTGCAGTGATATTCCCCGGTACTTCTGAGGGAGCATGCCATAAAGTTCGTATTGTCGATGCGCTGGTAGATTCCATGGCAAACAACTAGAGCTAGAGCTCGGGCCAGGCTGTATAAGAGATGGACACGATTGTTCCCAAAGCACTGTGCTGGTATTGCCGCAGTGGGCACGCCACTCCAGGTACACGTGTTTGGTCCATGTATGACATGATTAGATCACAGTTCATTTTATTGTCTGCGACAAAATGGGATTTATACAGGGTAGACGAAACTATTAATGCAAGACAACCAGAGTGAAAAACAAGACACAGAGCTCGAGATCCTCAATTAAACATGGTAAAGCTTTACCAATTTCTCCTCGTCAATTGTGAATGCCTCTGGGTCCTGGAACTGCGACACCTTCCAAACCCCATGTCCCGCGCTCTCTCTTAAGACAACATGCTTGCCTTTGTGAGGTCCGCGCAAAACGAGAGCGTGATCTTCTACCTCCTCTGGCTGGATAGGCTGAAGGTAGACTGTCGGTACGTGAACTGGAGTGCCCCCAGGCGAATCCAGAGGGTGGAATAGCGCTGTGATCTCAGATAAGGAAGCGAAGGCTGAAGAGACATAACCCTTCTTGAACTCCAAATCGCCATCGAGCCACCCTGCATCCGCCGAGCCTCGAATCTCCACCACCACCTTTTTGTTTGCGATCAAAGGGTCACGTAAAACCAGACCTGTTCCTTGTGTAAATAGAAGGTATACAGTTATTTTGATTGTGCGTACCGAAGTCCGAGTCATGGTCATCTTCGTTACCCGAAACACCTGGTGTAGGTGCAGACATCGAACCAGGGTCATTCATAATGCCTGCCGGTGTAGGTGCGCCTGTGTAGGCAGCAGGGGTCGGTGCAGATAAGAACCCAGGAGTTGCCGCAGCAGCTGGCGTTGGTGCGTTCTGATTGATCATGAGTCCCTAATCAAATTCAAGCTCAAGAGGAACCCACCCAAGACGACCAACTCGAGTCCGCTGGACGTGCAGGTGATGCGCTACCACCCCAGCCGCCTGATCCCCACGATGGCTCACTATAGGGATTCGGTGTCCGTGAGGACGCATTCCAAGCCGGAGTTTTACCACCATCACCACCACCAGCGTATGGATTCGGCGTCCGTGACGATGCGTTCCATGCGGGGGTTTTGCTACCATCTGCATACGGATTTGGCGTCCGTGACGATGCATTCCATGCAGGTGTCTTGCCATCCCCACTGGCATGCGGGTTTGGTGTCCGGCCGCCATTCCAGCCAGGGGTGCGGCCAGCAGCATATGGATTCGGAGTCCGACTAGGGACTCCGACTGGGGGGCCCATGCTTCGTTGCTGACCTTGTGAATGGTAGGGTGCACTAAGCGGCTGGAGTTTGCCATCCGGACTGTAAGTAGAGGTCAGCAGGAGAAACACTCGGCAGACAACAAATGTCTTACAGTCTCCGATACAGCTTTTGCTTTTCAATGGTGATGACTTTATTGCCTGTATTCAGCTCAACGCGTGCTAGGGTACCATTGATGTCTTTGATAACACCGTTGTACCCCTTGTGATTGCCCTTGACGACTGTTATGACGGTACCAATGTCACGATCTCGTGGTCCGCGCCCCATTGCACCAGAGCCAACCATGCCACCTTGAGCGCCGCCAGCAGCGGTTGGATTCATCTTGCCTAAGTCCACCCCTGGCTTGACGATGTTACCCTTTGGAGCGAGTGACGCTAGGGAGCGACACCGGGTTACAAATACACCGCCATTTTCAAGAATGTCCCTGTTGTGTAGGAAGGCGAAGAACGACTGGTGAATGTGCAATACTCGACCTTTACGATTCTGTAAAAGCGTTAATACTGCGGAATTATTAGGGGCTACAAGAAAGGACTGACCTCTCCTTCGATCTCCTTGACATTGTCTTGTACACGGAGCTCGTGACGGTCGGAGTCCGTAGCGATGGCACGGTCAGAGTTCCGCCGCATCGAGATCTGGTGAGGTTGCACTAATCGTACTTGTCCATTCTGGTCAAGAACACGGAAGGAGTCTCGCTCGGTTTTGAAAATGACACCGACAGTCTGCAGGCTACACACCGATCATCAGATAACTACATGCGGAGATGTCGGGTGATCGGCTTACTCGAGCTGAACCAAATCGTGCAATTCATAATTGCCAACAACGTTGGTTCCAGAACCGACTTCGGCAGCCTCGCGAAGATCTTTGGAGAACACGGAAACCTGCCAGTTTATAAATAACAATCGAATAACAAATAACAAAGCTCCACTCGCCTCCTGCATTGACATATCTGATAGGAAAGTCACCACGTTGTCTGTCACCGAGATGACAAGACCCGTCTCGTCTGCATTCTGACCAGTCATTACCTTGACATGGTCACCTGGCTTGAAGCGTTTCCGCACGCTGCGCGCAGGGACATCCACCTTCTGACCATCGATATCAACGCCAATAGCTGTGACGGTCACGACATCTTGGTTGATCGAATCGACAACACCATAGACACCAGACTGTTCGCCCTCAAACACCTCGACATGATCACCGGGTTGCAGCACAGCAATGGCAGCTTTCCGCGACGCCTCCGCGATGATCGATAGATCTACCGGATTTTCGTTATCGGCACCATCCTGCCCTCGGCTGAACTTCGTGATCTCGTCCAGTGTCGGGTTGACGTTGTCTAGCTGCAGAGCATTGAGCTTGAAGTCTTTTTCGATGAACCCGTCTTTGTATGTGTCATTTTGGAAGACATAAACCTGGTTCCGCTTTGAGACCTGCTTGCGTCCATGAACCTTGACGACCTCCTCGTAGTTGAAGAACCGCTGGGGCGGTCGCATCGTTGTCAAACCAGTGCCAGCCTTCTTGCGCTTCCGACCATCAACGTTGGCATCGTCCCGTGGGTTCAAGTCGATACGCGGAATGAATTTAAGTCCAACGTCCTCGCCGTTCTCTGTGATATCCATGACCTGTGCAAGATCGCCCTGGTACTTGCCACGCTTGATGCGCACCCAGCTTCCAGGTGTCACAGTAAGGTCTTGCTTCTTGATTTGCAGTAAGCTAGCCATTTCCTCAATGGGGACCAGTACAATACCACGGCTCGGGTACACGCCGACAAGACCCTTGCAAGCCTGATTGACCTGCTGGGCACTCCGCGCTTCAACGTACACCATACCGGGAAGTGAGTCGCGTTGGAATGCAGATAGGATGGAAAGGGGCTGAGCGGTGTACTCGAGATCAATTGCTTTCCTCATGAGACTGAAAACGATGTCGCGTTCGCGACCGGGCTGCCACAAAATTCAAGCTTGAGTGACGATGAAGAATCCTTGAGAAGCTCACCTTGACTCGAACTTGCCACAAGCTTGCGTCATGCACAGATGGCATCAGCAGGCGCTGCGGTACTTCATTCATGTCTCCCGTGTACCGCACTGCTGCTCGACCATAGCGCTCGTGAAGATTCTGAGCAATTTTGGCCAAATCCTGGTCATTCAGCTCCCTTTCTCGCCTGTCCAGCCGCGCGTTGACCGCTGCTCGTCTATTCACGTCATCTTCATCACCCTCTGGCCCAATATCCGCAATAAACTCATCTGGGATGAGAAGTCGTTTGTGTGAGTATTGGGGATGAACGAGCTAGCAAGACGATTCATACCTCCTCCTGCCTCATCTTCCTCCTCCTCTTCCTCCTCCTCAGTATCGACTTCAGCCTCTACATCAAGGAATCGATTCACAGCATTGCGTCTGTGCCGGTGCTGCAGCGCATTAATACACACAGTTGTGCAAGTCAACAAGGGCACGGACCTTTGCGCGCTTTCGCCCACGGTCCCGTCCAGGTTCCTCGTCTTCCTCGTCTTCATCATCTTCCTCTTCCTCTTCTTCGTCCTCGCCATCTAATGCGTCATAAATGGAGCCTCGAGACTTCCCATTGGGCCTTTGCGGTGACTGCTGCTCGTTGTCCTCCTCTTCATTTTCCCGTTGAATAGGATCCTGTATGTCATAGTCATCGTCTAGACCTGACATGATGTTGTGGTAAGAGGCAAGAGGGAAGTAGCTCGTCCAGGTTTGCTGGAGTTCCACTCAAAACACATCTTTCAGTGGTCCCAGCTTAGTCATCCGACTTTCATTACCTAAGCTCAAGTCTACGTGACAAGGCGACACAAGAGGTCACGAGAGGCCACAGTCAATTGAAATTAAGTGGGCCATTGAGCGGGCAAGTTCATTTGACGGATACATAAAGGCAGTGGGTTACACTGCTACGACTTGAAGAAAACTCTATTTACTGTCTCTCACACAGCGGAAAGTAGCATCATCGCCATGGTAAGTACTCCTGCGGCAATGAGTCCTGACCCAACTTCTACCCCTTTACCTGCACTGCTACTAGTAGAAGTTGTAGTGGAAGAAGATACGTTCGTGCAACCAGACGAGGCGTTGGACGGCGGAACTGTCATGCTGGCAGACAAAGTCAAGTCCGCACACTGTCACAGTGCTCATTTTAATAATCATGGTCATAAAAAATATAAAAATGATCGCCTACCTGGTAGAGGGTGCCGTCGCCGCCATCAAACAGAACCTGAATGGTGACGTTCGCGCCGTCTTTGATTCCAGAAACATTTGTTGCAGCAGCAGCGAGATCGATAGAAAAACAGTACAGCCCCTCTCCGCTTTGCTGGAAGAATGGAACTACAGTCTGATAACCAGAGCTAGAGTTAAAATCGCTGAAGTTATTCGGGTTTTGATCCGTCGAGATAATGACTCCCGCTATATATGCAAATTATCAGCTTCTGCGAAGAAGGGGGAAATTCCGTTGACCTACCCGTCCACAACGGATGTTCGCTGTTCATGTTGATGATCCCGTTACTAAGAGGGAATACGGTGCGGTTATTCACGGCATCGGTGTAACCGTCTACGTAAAATCAGTTGAGCATCTACTCAGACGCCTAGACTATTTTACACTCACCACAGAACGTTGGTTCAGAGTCTTGGACGAAAGGACCTCGTGGAATCGGATACTGAAGTTGGAAATGGGCTTGGGCAGCTGTGGAAAAAAGGACAGAGGCAAAAATAATGGAAGAGAGGAACATCGTGACAATGATTGAATAAACTAGACTCGCAAGAAAGAATATTCAAGGCCTACTCTCAGTCTACTCAGTCTGCTCCTTCGTATTTAAGTGAGGGACGAAAAAGTTTTTCACATTTATTTACTCTTGTTTGTCGCCCGGTTCAAGAGCAAGTCAGGTGAACAGAGCGAACCGTTCGAGCCAGGTTAACACTGCCAGGCAGGGCCTGATCTATGACATGACGATAGCTACGTGACAGCGGAAGTCCGACTGCTAAATGGCGACAATCGCATGATCATATAGGATCATGAGTTGCCCCCTGGAACATGGAACGGGTTCCTACTATAACAGTACCAATATATGGATTGCATAGTGAATGGTATATTGAGAGGTGTACACGATTAACGTATAATAGGCAACCACGAAGCTACCCACACGAAAGCGACTAATAGCAAGGACACAGTAAGAAAACTATAAAAAGTAGAGCCAAACGTGTTTATCAGTTATACTTCAGCACGTTTGCACTCGACCTCCATTCAAGCCACCAATTCGGCCGAACAGGACTTCGCCTATGGCAAGACCCAAAACGATGGATATAATATACGAGGCATTAAACGTCCTATGTTTCGTAAGTTGAACTTCTTATGATGGCATGCGTTACGAGACTTACATGACTGCCAACATCAAGACGTACGAAAAGAGTGATTGAACACCTTGGAATATCCCCCGCGGGATATCGTGCATGGGGATGAAAGGAGGCACAAGTCTCTGGCGGCTGCGGACTGTGACCGGGGTGGTTTGAAGAGAGGCTTCTTCAATCACATCAATCTTATCGGAGAGGATAGCGTCTTTGGCTTTATCGTCAATATGTTGGGAATTACGCTGCTCTTGCAAGATTAGCGCAAGCGCCCTAATCAAGGTGAATCAGCAATGGTCATGTGTTGTTTTGGGTATGACTAACCTTGATCCCCATTGAATCTCCATGTGACGTCGGAGGGCCGCAATCCAACGATCAATGATACAGAATGCGACCAACGCAATACAAGCGCCGGCGATTGCACCTTTCGACCCAGGTAACCAAGTCTTGAAGATCAAGTAGTCTCCACCACTAAAATGCAACCAGGGTGTCATCATCATAGTCATCGTGGTAGTAGAGTTCATATCCATGGTGAATTCAAGAGCTCAGAGTGATACCCAGGAAGCGGGAAGCGAGGAGGTAAATCGCAAGTGAAAAATGTGACATGTTCTCGGGTATTGCCGAGACTTGGTCACATCAGGCACCCCTAAAATTGGTTAGTCTCGCACAGCAACCCAACAATGGTAACTTTGTCTTTAATGCCAGAATTGAGTATTGAACAGCGATTATCTTGTGAAGTTATTAAAATTTTCGAGGTGCCACAGATGAATCGATTGCCATTCAGGGGAAACTCGCAGGGATGGAGAGGCCATGATCAACATCGGGGCCGCGACAAATCCACCACTTGCATCAGCGATTAGACGGGAAATATATGGCATCAATCAAATGACAGGGCCGCATCAACAGGTGTATCAGATTCGGAGAACAACGCTCGCACGTCAGCACCCATTAATATGACTGCGTGGAATGTACTCGGGGAAAGAAGCGAACTGGCGCGAACCGGCCTGGGTATGTTTCGTCCGTTCGGTAGATTGTCGGCCGTATAACCGTGCTCGTCGGGATATGCGGCGGACAGAAGAGTCTAACCCGATTGGCGTCTTCAATTGGCGTTGTCCATGACTACAAACGATGAGCACTTTCAGAGTACTGAACGCTTGGAGTGGAAACATATTCTCACAGTGTTTGAAGAACCTGAGTGCAATGTCACGAGTGAGCAAGACCTTGAGAGGGATATCAAGATGCATGCAGATCCATTCGCGGGTGACTTGGACCACGGAGACGTGACGGCGAGAAATCCAATTGAAAAGATGACAAGCTCCAAAATCATTGAGCCCGCGAGATGACCGATATGGAGGATGCGAGCCAACGGCACGTCACAGCACAAGCTTGCTGAGGATAACACTCCCGCTTGTGCTGCGACGGGTCAAGGAAAAAAAACCACAAGGCTGGGAGTACCATCGGTAGCTCGCTCCAAAGGACCGGGATCCAAAACCGCTGGAACATTGAAATTTGTAGCACCTCGATGCAATGCTGGGGCTACGAAACATAGATAGGTACGAGCGATAAAGGCAAGATGGAAGATGAGGGGATGAAAGAATGAAATGCTGACAGGAAGGGGATGGGAAGGAAGGGAAAGACTGCGGCATTTCTGCGACAACCAATGGCAAAAATAGCGGGTTTTTCACGTGATTGGTTTCCTAAAACGATTCACTAATGCGAAGGCGACATAGAGGTTGGTAATACTTTATCTTGACAAACATTTACTTATTACCTGGACCATATAGGAATCAAGGATGCTGCGAAGTGCACTTTTTAACACCACCCGATGGGTGGCACGCCCTACGCTACTCACACGTCAAGCCGCGAGACCAACGTATCAGGTCTTCGCGCGGTACGAGTCGACCAAAGCTAATGAAGCTCTGAAAGCTGCTCGCAAGGCCAAGGACAAGCTCCAGAAGGATTGGCAAGGGCCTGTGCTCACATACGAGCAAGTCAAACCCAAGACCCTCAGTCCCAGTGCAGTACGTCGCACCGCACTCTCACGTTGTGCCTGTGCCTACCCACTTTTCCTTCCTGTCTTTCATAGGACGCCTACCTGATTGACGTGCGTGAGCCCGATGAGGTTATGCAGGGCTCTATTCCGTCCTCTGTGAATCTGCCACTCTCGGTACTTGCCAATTCGTTCCACCTTACGCCCCAAGCCTTCAAAGCGCAGCATGGTTTCGAGAAGCCAGGAAAGCAACAAGAAGTCGTGTTCTACTGCCGCAGTGGAATGAGGAGTGCTAGTGCGTGCGATATAGCACGGAGGAATGGATACGAGAAGTAAGTTGATCGCAAACTGTCCATCTGTACTGTGCTTTGATACAACGTGCACTTGTGTTTTTCTAGCATTCTAAATTATGAAGGGTCGTGGTTAGAGTGGACGTCACGAGAAGGAGGAGGAGGCAAGGGGTCCACTGCTTGATGGTACTTCCCCGCATTTTAATGATGCAACACGCATAATACAGCCCTCGAGCACATTTTCTCTTGCCTACCGGTTAAAATGAGTTTAAGATGACCATCCAATATTGTCCAACCCTGCATGAATTTTAGTAGCGTTCTCGAGAAGCTCAACCACTTCATTTTTCATTGCTCGTGGTTGTCTCGTGATCTGGCGTGCTCGACCCTTCTTGATCGAAGTCGTTCTCACGGTTAGTCTGTCCTGCTTCATGTTTCCCCGCAACCTGCTTCGACGGATTCCAAAAAACACGAGCCTGCATTGGCAAAATGCAGCTGCGAATAGAATGTTCTCGCTAATTGGACACGTCCCATTGAAAACGCGGGCTCCGCCAGCGACTCACTTTTACGTGTGCAGACGGACATTGAGTACACCTGCCCCCATGGTCAATGTCAGGTCCGCCCCTACTGCCTCAGTTTCTCCATCCTACTCAAGATGGAAAATTGTTTTCCTATACTGCATGCAGTGATCTATCTATGGAGCACTATCACGCACTTTCGGACGCGACCATGACAACTTTACTCGAACGGCTTGAGGATTTGCTGGACGCAGCAGGAAATGACGCGTACGAAGTAGACTATCATGTAAGCATACTAGAAAATACCAGAATTTTGGCTCCAGTCATCCGTAGTTGAACCCTTGACTCACTATTTTGCTTCTTCCGCAGAGCGGCGTCCTAACGCTCAACTTAGGCACCCATGGGACATACGTGATCAACAAGCAGCCGCCGAACAAGCAAATATGGTTGTCTTCCCCACTCAGGTGGGTCAACTTCGTCCGCCTGATTGTTAGTGTTTCACGCTAATAAACTTCTTTTTTTTTGCTTCGCATGCCTGATTTCGCCGATGATGAACGCCCACTCATGAAACTCGAATTTGCTAGTGGCCCCAAGCGCTATGATTACGTACCAGAATCAGATGACTGGCGATACTTGCGAGACGGAATGGGACTTGGGGAGCTGCTGGATGAGGAGCTTACGGATATGCTCCGATCGAAAGTCTCCCTGCATCTAGAGGGTGTGTCTATGCAGATACAAGAGTAGAGTCGTCACGATTGGTTCCATAGATTGTCGTTTCCTCACTGCCTTCGCATAACGGGTAGGACATTCTCCACATCCATGCAAGATACAGAAGTGAGATCTGTTATGATCACCTGTGGACGGTTCGATAGATTGTCAATATAATTCCGTTGATGTCGAAGTTCCTCCACCTTTCGAAAGTTTAATTGCGATGCACGGTAGTACATATGTGATGTTGTGTAGAAGCAATGTGCCCGAGAATGCTCATAGATGGAAGGATGCCAACATGCCAAATAAAGTAGGATGTGAAGACGAGGGACAGTAATGAAGAAGGCCTCTGTGATGACGGACTGAACGATGATAGGATCAAACGTGCCGATCACGACGGGTGTATGGTAGGTTTATGTCCACAGCAACGGATCTAAGGGCTCGATCTCATAGCAAGTTCCGGTGGTCACTGTGGCCTTGCTCTGTGACAGGAGTACTGGAATTGGGGCCCTCCTGAAGTTCCCGTCTTCGCGAGAGGAACAATGATCCCAATAATCTTTGGGGTTCAATAAGCAACGCCACACAATAGAAGGGAAGGCACGAGTCGTACTTATTGGCATCCTCGTACCGTTCTCGCACAGACTTGACCTCGTGAACGTCCAATGGGGTGTGCGCAGCCGATTCAGTAGGAGCTTCTGCCGCATGTGGGAGACGGGAATAGATTTCAGGTAAAGGGCATTCGGGCAATGTTGGTATATATGATTTCCCATTGGAGGAAAAAGAAGAAGGATGCCAAAGTCCGTGAGCGGAATGCAAAATATGTGGATGGGTGGCCATAGGCGGTGGAGGGGCAGATAAGCCTGCGTGCGGAGACAAATATAGATGTGACGGTGGTTGTGAGTTCGGTTGGAAGAACATGAGCCTGTGCTGGTGAAGAGCATGCACTTCGTGTAGCATAGTGTTAGTGCGCTTGTAGTCTATGTAGTCCGGTGATGCGGTGAGGTGGCTAGTTGCCGCGTCATCCTCGTCATCTATCCAATCTTCTTCGCCATCGCTATCATCTGCGAGAGGCACTGACGAAGTAGGTGGTTTATACCAACCTCTCTGTGCACCGTCTAGCACTGGAGGGTGTATTCTGCGTCTTTTAGCACGCGACTCATGTGAAAACATGTCTGGAGGAGTTTCACGGTGTGGTACGGGTTTGATAGGTCGATCGGGAAATGGCGCTAACGATGGAATTTCGTCTAGCGATGGCGGAGGCGTTGGAGGACGCTGTCGTTTGAGCATACTTTATTCTAGCTGGTCAGAACGTGGTTGAGAGACAAGCTTGAGATGTTGCGTTCTTGAAGCCACAAGACAGCTATTAGGCGGGGTTTCCATTTCAGGCTGTTGTGGGAGTAAGTAATTTAGGTTCAGTGGCTCCAATCTTTGCGCGACTTCCATGCGCATACAGTAGGTTCTACTTACACAGATCAACACCCACACCCAGCTCTGAACAAAATGGCCGACATGGACGTGTTTTCTGCGATGGGCATCGTTGGATTTGGCAAAGCTGCCAAAAAGCGCGAGCTCGATCCCAACAGGTTCGACAAAACCAAGCGTGAAGAGCTAGTTGTCAGTCTCATATTTTTCGCTTGTCAGGTTGTATTCTAATACATTTATCCGCTCAGCAGCCCAAAGTGGAGGCGAAGCCCTTGATCCCTTCATCAGGGCCTAGTAAAGTATCTATTCGGGCACCATCTCAATCCGACGAAGACTCGGACGACCCCGGGCCTTCCCTTCCGCCAGCAGGCTCTTTCAAACACGATACTGATGGCGTAGGCGACGAAGACAAGGAAGATGATGATACTGGCTCTGCTGACGACGAGCCTGAATACGACCCCAGCGCTCCTTCGCTATCGGCCCCCGATTTCCCGATCACACACGAGGCAACGCTCAAAGAGCACACCAAGGTGATTTCCGCGCTTACGGTGGACCCGAGCGGTGCACGTGTTTTGAGCGGTTCGCATGACTATGATTGTAAGTTGTGGGATTTTGGTGGAATGACGACGCAAACGAGGTCCTTCAAGACGTGGGAGCCTGCAGGCAGTTACTATGTTAGTGCGTTAATTTTGCGAAGGGAAGGATGTATTTGACATTCAAAGACAGGTTAACGATCTCAAGTACTCAAACGATGGCCAGCAGTTCCTCGTAATTTCAGGAACACTTCAAGCTAAGCTGTTTGATCGGGAGGGCGAGGAGAAGTAAGTTTAATCTATCCTGTTGCAGAACAGAATAGCTTGAATGACCTTAGAGCAACGTTCGTCAAGGGTGATATGTATATCAGAGACATGAAGCACACTGCGTACGCCCCATTCAATATCACTTGTGTGCATACTTGCTTACGCCACATATTTTATAGTGGACACGTCGGGGAACTTTCAAGTTGTGCATGGCATCCGAAGGATAAGCAGTATTTTATTACTAGCTCGGCAGACTCGACCATTAGGCAAGCTCTCACGCCGCTAGCAGCGAACACCTTCTAACATTACGGAATAGAATATGGGATGTCGAGAACAGACGCAAACAGAAATCTGTTATTGTTGTCAAATCAAAAGAACGAGGTGCACGGACTAAAGTGACGACGTGCGCTTACTCTACCGACGGAACGCTCATTGGAGGTGGTAAGTCCATTTAGACCCGCATTGATCGTGATGTGTAGTAATGATGGTTCTCAGCCTGCCTCGATGGCGCACTGCATATGTGGCAGGCATCATCAAATTTTGTGAGGCCAAATATGACGATTGAGGGCGCACACACGAAAGGCACGGACGTCGGATCTCTAGTGTTTTCCGTTGATGGGAGAACGGTTCTGACGAGAGGAGGGGACGACACTGTTAAGCGTACGTACCAATCTCGGCTTCCTGACATGCTTGGCTGATACTAGGAACAGTGTGGGATTTACGGGCCTTTAAGCGACCGCTCGCATCACATTCGGGAGCTACGACATTGTATCCTGGCACTAATGCTGTATTCAGCCCTGATGAAAAGTATATTCTAACAGGCACAGGAGCGTCCACAAAGGGGGGACGAGGCAAATTGGTGTTGCTCAGTCGAGAAAGTCTCAGTGTAGCGAAGGAGATCGACATGGACACGACGCCAGTCAAAGTGGTCTGGCATTCCAAGATAAATCAAATTATCACAGGTCTTGCCAACGGCACCATTGCAGTACTGTATTCGCCGGAGACGTCGTTGAATGGTGCGAAGTTGTTGCTGTCGAAGGGATCACCGAAGCGACCGACGGTGGAGGATTTGTCGGATGCGCTCGCTGCGCCAACGATCCTGACGCCACATGCCTTGCCAATGTTCAAAGATGGGGAGGGAATAGTGAAGGGAATGAAGAGGAAGCGAGACAAGGACCGGATGGACCCGAGGAAGAGCAGGAGGCCAGAGCTGCCTGTGACAGGACCAGGTCGGGGAGGACGGGTTGGTGCGAGTGCGACGCAACACGTTGTGCAGAACTTGGTGCGGGATACGACACGTGACGAAGATGTGAGTGGTTGCATTCTTGGCTTTCTTTACGTCGCTTCGCAGTATGACATTCTCGCGCATTGTTCAAGACGGCGAGACGGCTACGGCTGCGCCGCTGCGGTTGTCATTATCACGTGCTTTCTATCTTCTTTGTTTGTTTGATGGTTTCCAAGGTGGCTGACTGTTTCTTTCTTCATACCACTTCTTTGACGACTATAGCCACGGGAGGCATTGCTCAAGTATGCGAAGATGGCGGACGAGGACCCTCAATGGACTTCAGGTGAGCAGCATGTTTCAATAACAGTCTCCGCTGCGGTGGGGGAGGGGTTGCGGCTAGTGGGAGGGTCCGTAGCGGAGTGTGAAAATTATTGTTTTGGATTATTTGTTTTGATCGGCCGGCTGACGTGGCGTTTATTTGGATTTAACCAGCATGGCGACAAAACCAGCCCAAACCCGTGTTTGCGAACGTCTCAGAGGACGAGGAGGAGGAGGAGGAAGGTTGAGCACAAGTCTTATGAGGTTGTGCATATTAGAGCAGGAATTAGTTTCAATTTTGTTGCTCTTTGTGAGATATGAGGTGTGAGTAATTTTTAGTGGCCCCTGCGCAGGTCAAACCTTAATTCAGTTCGCCTATAAAGACCCAATGGCTGGCTTCCGATTCCCCCAAATCCAAAATCTCCTCTCCTCTGAAAACGTCACGCTGTGTGACATATTAGTCACGCGCCACCCATGAACGCGACAGAGCACAGCGCGACCAACACCGAACAACAATCCATTCTCTCTACCGCCGTCAACGGCGACAATGTTGTCAACGGTGCACGCGATCCCTAACTTAATTACTTATCTCAGCTAACTTCAAATGTAACAAATTCTGTAGACCTGAAACTTGACCAAATGATTTCAGACTCTCAGAACGATAATAATCATTCTCTAAAGTCTGAAATCCTCGACACACTCTCCACTTGCGTAGAAATTTCGACCCCTCTTGATCCAGGTTAGTACAATTTTCTTCATTTTCTTTCCTTCCTTTGTTCTTATCGGAACAGCTTCCATACCAATTCATCCTCCGAGTGGAACACCAAGACCAATGGAGGGCCAGTTGTTGGATGATGTAAAGATGGCAGAAGAGACAACAGTTAATGATTCGGATGAAGTCCCAATAACCAACGGCGTCAACGGCGTGCACACCACTGACTCCGATGGAGATGTCCACATGGACCAGTCCCCTACCACCAACGGTCATTCTCATGACATCCCGCGCCAGTCATCACTAGCACCTGCCGATTCTGCTGGCCCACCAACATCACGTGCTACATCCAACTTCAATTCTCCTCAGCACCGCTCCGACGCCGTCGATGATGATGATGAAGCCAGACCGCCCCCAGCTAAGCGCGCGCGTAAATATTCCGACGCTGATCAAGCATCCATCGCCAATGTAAGCACTTTTGTCGTTGTGCGCCTGTACAGGCGTGCTAATTCCTTTCTTTTTCTCGACCCTGAAGACTGGCTCTCCCCCTCCTATTACAGCGTCCTCTGTGCAAACAAATGGCGACACCGTTGTGTCGAGTCCAACTCCAGCGCCTACATATGTTGGTACCGGCATATCCACCCTCAGTCCTGTGCAACACAGATTCTGTTTGTCGACAGTACGTTCGCTCAAGAAGCTCAAGGATGCTTCTGCGTTCTTGCATCCCGTGGACCCCGTTGTTCTTAATATTCCCCACTACCCAACCATAATCAAGACCCCGATGGACCTGGGCACCATCGAACGCAAGCTCATGGCATCTAATCCCGCCAAGCCGGACACCAGTTCTAACATTCCCCGTTATTACAGCGCCGAGGAGTTTGTCTCTGACGTGCGGCTGGTGTTCAGCAATTGCATCACGTTCAATGGCCCGGATCATGTGATAGCTCAGGCAGGAAAACATGTTGAGGCTGTCTTTGATAAGCAGATCAAGCAGCTTCCACCCCCAGCCGAGGTATGTCACCTTTTGATGAATGCCGCGTGCGCGACTCATTGTTGCAGCCGAAGCCTCCTGTTGTCAAGAAAGTTGCCACGCCTCCTCCCCCACCACCGCCAGCTCCTTCCAAGAAAGTTGCAGCAGCACCTGCTCGCCGTCCTTCAACCTCGGTTCCTGTCATCCGGCGCAATGAGGCCGAACAGGCATCTGCACGGCCGAAACGTGAAATTCATCCACCACCTCCGAAAGACCTACCGTATGCCGATGTGCCAAAAAAGATGCGCAAGGTTAAGGTACCGAAGGACGATGGTACAGGGGAGCAGCTGAAATATTGCGGGAGGATCTTGAGTGATCTCCAGCGAAAGCAGCATGCAACGATTGCCCATCCGTTCTATGAGCCTGTCGGTATGTTCAAAGTTTAATTCATACTTGGCCATCAGATTTCTCATGAATCTCACAGATGCAGTTAAGCTTGATATTCCGACGTATTACAGGGTCATTAAGAAGCCCATGGACATGTCGACCATGCGGAAGAAGCTCGAGGCTGGGGAGTACCCCAATGCCTCAAAGTTCTTCGATGACTTCAAGCTCATGATCCGAAACTGCTTCCTGTTCAATCCCGCTGGTACACTCGTCAATCAAGCAGGGATCGAGTTGCAGCGGTTGTTTGATGAGAAGTGGAAGAATTTGCCGCCCCTTCGGGATGTGAGTGATGAAGAAGAGGAGGAGTACGAGGATGAGGAGTCAGAGGAAGAACGTAACCGTGGGTGTACCTCACATATCCAGTGTGTCCGCCCGCTAACGCACCACACAGGGAGGATCGCCGCCATGGAAGCTCAAATCGAGTCGATGCGCGGTAATCTCATGGCGCTTAAGAATAAGCCGGCTAAGGAGAAGAAGAAAAAGGAGAAGAAAGAGAAGGCTCCTGTCGCTTCTACCTCAAAGGCCGTTGCATCACGCACACCCAAGGCAGCGCCTACGACCAACGGGAACAAACGTAAGACCACAACGAAGAAGCCCATGGCCGAGGACGATGCCCTATCCTTTGAGCAGAAGAAGGACTTGAGTGAAGCCATCACCAATCTCGATGGGGTTAAGCTTGAGAAAGTCATTCAAATCATTCATGAGGGTGTTCCCGAAATCCGCGATGTAAGTCAATCGGAAGATTTGCGTTATCATATTGATAAACAACTTAAGCAGAGCACCGAGGAAATCGAACTCGAGATTGACATACTACCACCACACGTTCTCACAAAGCTGTACAATTTTGTGCTCCGGCCTCTGCGGCAGCCAACGCAGAAACGGAATCGAACTGGCAAGGGCACGGGTACTGGTGGCCTTAAACGGAAGAGCATGGACGAGACTGCTGAAGCTGAGAAGATTCGCAAGCTGGAGGAGCGCATGCGGCTCTTCGATGATAACAACTTTGCCACGCCCAACGCTGCTCCCGTGCCAGCCCATCAGAACGACAGTGATCATTCATCGGACTCTTCTTCAGACGATAGCTCGGGCAGCGAGTCGGAGTAATTCGTCTTCCTACCTTGCGATGTCGCTTATCGTATCTGGTTGATATTTCTTGCGCGGCTTCGTCTGGTTGTTGGTAGAGTTGTCTTCTTCATCCTCGCTTATTGTTCTCCTTTAATTGTGACTGTCCTCTTGATCTTTATAACCTTCAGAAGTTGTGCTACTCTTCGTCTCTTCGCTCTCCTGCAAGCAAACGTACATTCATACATCACCAAAATTAAAGAACAGCAATGTAGTTAGTTAATTCTAGTCGCGACTGATGGTCGCCACAATTGCAGACCGTCCCTGCTCAAATACCTTCGTATTTCATTATGTATTAAAGATGTCGACGTCGTTCCGAGAATTCGCAAAATATCATTGAGGCATAGCTTGGTTTGTACAGATTTGCGGGGCAAAGTATAACTTAGTACTAGTAGGTCCGGTCATGGACCAGTCTAGGGCTTCACCGGCTCCTGCTCACCGCTGACCTCGTCATCTATCCGCCATGAGAATATTAATGCCCTGCGCACGCACCCTACCATCATCTGCTGATGCCAAGCTAATCTGCCGAAGCAGTACCAGTTGCATATCTGTCGCAGACACAAGATCCATCCTCTACTCAGGTGAATCCATTAGGTCCGTCTTTCAACCGACCACGGTCCACTTCGTATCGTCTCAAGTTGGAGAATCGTGTTTGCAGTTTGCACCGGTATCAATGCCAGCGCTTCAAAACACGCTCGCGAGCTGCATACCATTCGCGTGTGGGAAACGTTGATGGAACCCAAGGCGAAACGGGGGGCAGGAATGATGTATCAATGTGATGGGTGGGAGGGACGCAATTATCTGGCATCTGCCGCCCTCGACGTCACTAGTAGTCAGCCTCCGACATTCAAGGCTCAACTGTCATCGAAAAGCGCCTAAAACTCTGCCCAAACCAGCTGCCGAGGCCCTCATAGACTGGACCTAGATTTTGCCCCAGAAGTTCATCGTGGACACAGAGCGGACATTTCCCGGTTGTTTTCCAACCTACCGATCACATAGAACGGCCAGTTTGAACTTGTGCGCTCTATGGAATCAGTGCATCTGCTAAGGCGCTAACGTACGGCACCGGAACCTCTGGCATACATCGTTTTTCCGCCGCCATGTGGGCAGCTGCCTTTGATCGCCTGATATCTTTGCTAGAGTATCTTATACTCCATAAATACCTGAAGTTGGTGCCTTTAGACCTCCCTACCGGCACGCACTGCCATGTTTCTGCGAACGCTCGTCCGAGCCGGTGTTACTTTGTTAGCTGGCGTATGCATAACTCTCGCCGTCTCTGTCAATCTCAACACTACAGAAGCAGGGCACATAGGGTCCAAGATCAATGCCAACCTGGAGTTCGCTATGTCAAGAACTCAGGAATCTACGAGACAACTCCGAATGTTACGCAGATTTCGGGTTACGTTGACGTTGGGACAAACATGTCTATGGTGGGTTGTTTGGAAGCTGGTTCACCTAAGTACCTGAGTTTAGGCGTACCTCTGACCTGCCTTTGCAGGTTGAATGGCGGCCCTAGATGTTCTTCCATGATCGGATTGTTCCAAGGTTGATTGGTTTGAATGCCTATTGATTTGCTTCTCATTTTCCACAGAGAACGGGCCATGTGTGGTGAATGCCGACCGCAAGTCGACCACTCTTAACCCCTACAGGTATGTCAGGATTATAGATGTTTTCATATCCTAAGCTGACATGGGTTCCTTCTCGCGATGAGAGGCGTCGAGCGGAGGTATTGGGCTAGATAGAAATATATTATCTCAGTCTACGTGTTCGGACTCGTAGAAACTATTCTGTGCTTAGATAGAAATATATTCTACATCAGTAAACTAATATGTACTGTACAGAACTGTACAGAACTGGACAGTGCCCAAGGGTGGCAGCTTGGTCCCTCTGTGACAGTGACTCACAGACACACCTATTCTGTGCCACACTGCACAGAGTCTCACAGATACTCCAATGATCACCTTGTGCACAAGTCAAAATTCCACGTCACTCTGTACAGAGCTCACAGATGCTCCAGTGATCACCTCGTGCACAAGTCAAAATTCCACGTCACTCTGTCACAGACCTCCAGTGACCGCCTTGTGCACAAAACTCAGCCAGATGTGCAGTAGCATAGTAGATCATATTGATAACAGAATGATAAGCGAGATAACACAATGCAGTAATCTAATACAGGAAACAGAAATACTTGGACATGTGAAAATGAAGGCATCAGTCAAGAATGATCTGCAGGTGATTGTGTCGAGCCCCCACAGCACTGTCAAGCCTCAAACTTGCGGCCCTGTATGAATAAAATTAGTATAATGTTAGCCATTGTGATATAAGGGAAGACATAGTACTCACATCTCAGTCTACATGTTCGGACTGAGATGCAGCAATGGGTAGCTCGTAATTTTTATAGTAAGTAGCATAGAGATAAAGAACATATACATATCATAGGGGCTGACACTTTGTGCTCGGCCGACATCACTCACTTGTGTCTGTTCCTTACGATGGTTGCGCTCACTATCTCACTCTGACATCTCCAATGTCTCACCCAGTCCGTCAACCGTATTGTCGTGTTCGATCGAGCTCGACATTCCTACGGCTGGAATACTCTTTAGCAACAGTATTGCAACACATAGTAGTTCTCCAATTGTGTTGCAGGGGATGACATTCTTACTGAGTGATCTACATTGACCAGCCAATTGGGACTGGATTCTCCTATGGTACCAATACGGTAAACAGCATGGAAGGTGCAGCACTATTTGTATGGACTGTGTTCCAGGTTTTGTTCGAAAGCTGACTATTCTCAAAGTATGCCAGTTGAGAGTCAGTCGCATAAACCACTTACGTGAATGATTGCTCATGTCGGGCTCAGATTTGTCTTTGCCACAGAAAACTATGGTGGTCACTATGGGGACACTCAACTCACATCGAGTTATTTTTGAAACTCCGCTTGCGACACACAATGTTGAGTAAAGGGATCTTAGACTTTAGGGATTAGCATGGGTATATGACACCCACGTGAGTTGTGGGTGTGGGTTTAGTAAGCAGACATATATTTTACCAACTCCGAAGACATCCAAATAGTATTGCAAACTCTAACTCTAAACTCTAAATCACGAACACATACTGTCATGCAGCCAAGCCCCTTCCATTCTGCCGCTAAACGGATTACCAAACTAACTGGGAAAGCCAAGGCTGCACTTGACGAGAAGCTCGAGGCCAAATCAAAAAAGAGAAAGAATGATGACAGTGCCAGTGTGGACAGCACACGGCCAAAGAAGGTAAAAGCAACCCAACATCACGGTAAGAACATTAAAGAAGCACCACCTAAAGACCCAGCCCAAAGACGGCACACAGGGGCCTACTCCGACGATGACGAACTATTACATAACACGGTTGCGGCACCTGGAAACCTGCTGGTCCGCACGGAAACAGAGGACTCGGAAGAGTTGCAAAACGAGGCCATTGTTATCAGTGAAGATGAGGATAATGCTAGAGAACAGATGAGCATGGATGACGAGGCTGAGACCCCTGAGGATGAACTCAGTAAGCATACAAGTATGAAGACTAAACACCAAGCTAAACATCAGTGTCACAGAGCGGCTGATGAAGGACTGGACGTCACCAATTTATGCGTTTTTCGATCCTACACCGACAATTGAGACCAGGGGAGATCAATGTGCACATGGTTTCAAGTGCATGGCGAAGGGATGCCAAGTCAAGATACGGCGCTTCCTCGACAAGAAAGACACCCGATCCACCGGCAATATGCGCAAGCACATCAAGATTTGCTGGGGAGATGAAGTACTGTGGGCAGCAGATGAAGTGAGGAATGCCGAAGAAGCACGTATGAAGATAGTTGGGAACTTCCTGCGAAATGGTTCAATTACGACTGCGTTTGAACGCAAAGGTCAAGGCAAAGTGACTTACTCGCATCGACAGCATACACGGACTGAGACGAAGTAAGATAGTCTTCAATGTAGATTTTGAGGCTGATGTTTCGCTCAGAGCCGAGATTGTACGTTGGGTCAGCAAAAATCTGGGGCCATTCGAAATTGTCAAGGACCAGGGCTTTCAGTTGCTAATGAAAACTGGAAGACCGGTGTGGGAGAAATCGTAGAAGTCCGCTATAGTGATAGTGTACCAATCCTGCTGGGTGCGAGAATAGTAGTCAACCCAAGGGGATAGCTCTGAGAGCAGTTCCTCAAGTATGAGTGAGGGGAACAGTGAGTAGGGAAGTGATGTGCTGGAGACGGAACAGCTGCTTGCGGGAGAATGTGTAGAGGTGCGAGGATGCGCAGGGATGCGGAGTATGCGGATGCGAAGTCTAGGGAGTACCAGGTATGCGAGACGGGGAAGGTACCAGGTATCAGGACAGGAAAACAGGTAAAACGGGTAAGGTACCAGGTATATGCAGGACACGATGGGACTGTCTTGCGAGTGAACTCAACTGGATCTAGCGATAGCCAACTGTCGATGATGATGCGAGCGTTCGCGCGAGATGAGAAGGCAAACAGATGATTGCTCAAGCAAGGAAAGACAAGGTAAGACTAAGCTAGTGACTCCGCAACACACAACCAGAGAGGGAATGTAGGAAAGTGAGGTCCGTACGAGTCTGCGACGTAGTATATAACAGAGTCCGTAAGAAACCGGAACCGTATAAGCGGGCGCATATGCAAGCGAAGTCGGAAGGAGATACATGTAAGTAATGGTACGCGGCCTCATGTATGGGAACTGATATGCAACTGGCCCTGCGAACGGTTAGGAATGACTAGCTAAGAATGAGAACGCACCAGTGAGGACGGACGGATGCAGACAGGACATGGACGGATAGTGTGTTGCGATGCGATGAGTGTGTGGATTCCGCAACCTCGTGTGATGGTCCGCAACGGCCTGTGGAAGGTATGCGTGACTTCATCCAGTAAGGGGAAATGGTGCCGTACGGGGCTGCAGCCAGATCGCCTCCTACACCGGAATACTACATACCATCTCCCTCCACAGTCTCGCGGGATGCCAGACTCATCTTCGCCAAAACAAGGCAACAAATAGCTAAAATGTCGAGAGTACGTTAATCGAATGCACACTGGAAGCAACTGACACACATACCAGGAATATGACGGCAAACTCAACTTTTCAACTGACGGCTGGACGTTGTAGGAAACCTCCAATCTCTGGCCCCGTATTTGATACTTTCCTTACTTTATGTTAGCACTCTTATTGCTGACATAATCCAGTCAATCTTTCACCAGTACCAGTCTGAGTCTGAGTCTGCCTGAGTGTCCAGTCTTTATTCTTCACCTGTTTCTCTCTGTGAGCACTGAGCCTGGAGCAGAGACCCAACATTTCCCTGCAGCTCAGCAGGATTGTTGTACCCACAACGTCTCCAAACCACCGTGCATATGTTGCATTGTTGATGCATCTGGAACATAAGGGTATCCCGCTATGCATCCCATTAGACATTGTGGAGGTCCCAAAAGTGCATGTACTCACTGTACGAAGTTTAACAACTGGTCTGACCAACCACAACTAGTCCCATACCGGCGAGGAGTTGGTAGCTGCCTTTGAAGGTATACAGGAAGATTTTGGTATAACAGAAAAGGTTAGCACCAAATCATAATGCAAGCTCCACGCAACTCACCGAAATGCAGATTCTCTGCGTAATGTGCAATAACGTGTCCAATAACACTGCAATGCTTGAGGAGCTTGAAATGAACCTTCCGGATTTTGGTGGAACTGCAGCTCACATGCGCTGCTTCCTCCACACAGTTAATCTTGTAGCGAAATTGCTGATTAGAGAATTTGACATCTTGAAGAAAGATAAAGAAGCGCTGCAGCATGACGAGGATGCCGCGATAGATGATGAGGATGCTGCAATGGATGAAGATGAGCGTCTCGCTCAAGAACTCAAAGGCTTGAGTAGAGACGTTGAGGTGGAAGAGGGTGAGGATGATAACGTTGAAGGACTTGTTGACGAGATCGCACTGTTGACTGAACGTGAACGCAAGACATTGCAACGCAGCATTCGTCCGGTTAGATTGGTCCTCGTAAAGGTAAGTTACTAAGTACATTGCAAAAGATCCAATCACTTACCTTGATTGATGCCTCATGCAGCTCCGCAAGCTGTCCAACAAAGTAATCCACTCGACAACCAACTTGAAGTTTCTTCTGCTTGGCACAGTATACTTGAAGAACAGCGCTTGCCAGTGACCAATATTCCCCGAGACGTTGCAACACGTTGGAATTCGACTTTTGACATGCTTGAGTACGCATCCATCCATCGGGCGGCAGTGGACACAATGACCCAGCGCAGAGACTTGCGAGACTTGGAGCTGATGGACTATGAGTGGCAGATTGTTGGTCAGCTGCGGGATGTGCTGAAGGTGCGTGGAGTATTAGTATTTGTAAGCAATGTACACGCTGAAACCTGAAACTTACCCCTTACCCCAGATTCTGAAAGACACCACCATGTTTTTTTCACGCGCTGTCCCCAATCTTGCCACTGTAATACCAGCCATGGATTTAATAGATGAAAAACTAACTACATACTCTCTTGACGACAAATACCTTCCTGCGATCCGCGCTGCTGTGGGACTGGCCAAAAAGACATTAAATCGCTACTATCAATTGACGGATCACTCTGACATGTACCGCATTGCAATGAGTAAGTCAATTGCTACTACTGTTCATTTTCTAACCTTTGTCTTCACAATAGTTCTTCACCCATGTCATAAACTTGTGTATCTCAAGGCGGCGAATTGGGAGAATGAGTGGATTGATGCCGCCGAGAAGCTGCTGAGGGATGAGTTCAAGCGGTCGTACTCAGACTCCTACCTGGTTGAATCCGACAAAGACAGCACGGTCATTCCATCAGCCGCATCAGTGAGTTTTGTTCTGTCTCCCAACCATGTGCTGTACTAATGCAAATATCAGGACAACATGTTTGATAACATGCCAGCCCTCGCTGCCCCAAAAAATTCCGACCTTGGTAGCAAAATTGACCGATACCTCAAAGCAGGCATTGAAGATGTACCCAACACCCTTGCTTGGTGGCACGACCAGTGCACATTATATCCTCACCTGTCTCATATGGCTTTAGATTACCTCACTATACCTGGTACGTGCAGCTTTCTCACTCGTTTTGAATGATTTCTAACATTGATCACAGCTACTTCAGTGGATGTTGAATGGCTCTTCAGCCGTGGCCGCCTCGTCCTGTCGCATGTCCATTCTCGCTTAAATGTGCAGTCCACTCGCGCCCTCTTGTGCTTGAGTTACTGGAGCCGGCTGGGTCTGGTGAAGAACGAAGACATTTTAGCTGTTAGCAACCTCGCAGATGTTGTAGGTGACGAGGAGCTAGAACTTGAGGAAGGATGGGACCAAATACATTTAGAGTAGCTACAATTGCTGTTTTCGTAGTACTCATTCAATGACACCCGCGGGTATACCCTCCATGGGTACGGGTATGGGTGTCTATCTTTGGTACCCACATGAAAACCCACACCCTTGGTACGGGTGTGGGTATATTGATGGGTGTGGGTGTGGGTGTCAATGCATATACCCCGGGGTATACCCATGCTAATCCCTAAGATTCTCGGTGCACATCAATATCTCGGTGTGACCAACTCGGTGTGGACGGTACAAAGAACTTGTTGCAACAAATCTCGGTGTACGTGGAACTTGGCAATGAAACTTGGTGTAATAAAACTCGGTGCGAACTCGGTGCGACAAAACTTGGTGTGAAGTAACTTGAAAAAAAAGAAAAAAAGTCCAGCAGCCCATCAACAAATTCTGTATGAA